CAGCTGATCTGAACTACGGCGTGGCGAAAAAGGGTCTGCATGGGGGTGAGGGGTGGTACGGTTGACTACGTCTTTGAAGATCTTTCTTAGCTGTGCCTCTGTGTGTGTCTTAAGCGATATGAGTCAGTTTTATAGGACATTGTGGGTAGAAAGAACAGATATGCTAGCCTGGCAATACAACCATTTGAGAAACTAATATTCCATTGTGTAAATACCAGCTCAGGCACAACATATGTTTACAGTTTTGTGCGATTTTGCCCCGAAAGATCTGCTCAGAGATAAGAAATATGATACCCGCGCTGGTCGGACTGAGAGGCTTTGTTTTCATTCAGTCACTTCAGGTAATTTCAAAATCGTTATTAAAGATTTAAAATACTTTTGTACAAAGAACATTTTTTTTAATAAACTACACGGATTTCATGGGGAACTTTGTTAGGCTAATAAAGTTTACCCCCTAAAGTGGAATAGAACAGTCCGGACTCCGACTGAAGTACGGCGTAGTTCAGCTGAAGTACGGCGTGGCTGAACTACGGTATGGCGGGAAAGGGTCTGCATGATCACACCTATCAATCACACCTATCATGAGAACGGACTAACGCTAACAGGCTGGACTCCAGGCTATGCACAAAGTGCACCAAACCGAAAGACTACTCCAATGTTGTGGAAAGATCGTAAAGGAGTACTTGTAATCTGCACTTATGACGGAGAACTCTGACAGCTGTCAAGCGTCAAGTAATCATACACCAAGCATCATTTCTAACACGTGGCGGTGTATTGTGTACTCAACCGGTAATCTTGTGCCATTATGCATGGCTATTGCTGGGGGAAAGAGGTAAAACTATAAAGAAAAAAAGAAAGAATGACTTCAGCCAGTTGTGGTAGTGAATGATTTATTTAATTTTGAAACTGTCTACGCATGGTTTAAAAAGCGAGATCTTATTGACATAAACGTAATATTAAAAGTGTACTAGTATTCTTTCTACAACCCTTATACTTCGGTTATCTATCTGGTGCGTTTGGCCCATGTACAGCATGCATATACAAGAAGTTCATTGACATTGTTTTCCTTTTCCGATTGGTACCCGTTTTGACTGTCTCAGGTGCCAATCAGAAGAATTGGCTGTCAGAAATCAGGTATCACTCAGGGGACGAACAACATCACTCAGGGGAAGGTCATGGTATCCCCCTCCAACCTCTGCTTGAAGAACAATCTCCCTCAAGCTCACATGGAGTCTCCTCAGCTCAGGTCCTTCATGTCACTGATACTGAACATAGAGGGGTACACATAAAAACATGATGTAGTCAGTGAAACATTTAAAGATAATCTGTCTGTTATGAATTTAGGATCTGAATTCTTAAATTTCTACGTTCACCATCAGTACTATATTTCTGGGGCAAGGTACCTTTTAGTACACTGTAACCCAAGTTCTGAGTATTATGATTGTGGAATGGTGTCCCGATGCTCCCAGTTTCCTCTTCAAGACAAACAACGATCAGGAATCTCCTCAATGGTGGATCACCCTTACCAAAGGCACAAGATCATTAGTAACATCCGATGGGAAAACATTGAGCTTGCAAATGGAAATCTTCTACCTGCCACCACCCCCTCACGTCGTTTGGCCGGCCAGCTGAGGCCGTTGCCCGGGGGTTGGCACGAGGAGCCAGACGTGAGAGGCTTTAGGGGATGGGGGAACCAATATGCTAGACACCCTATGGGTCAAGGGTGTAGCAGGAGGAACCTGTGTGCTTAGCCACTCTTGATCAAGAGTGCAGCTGCTAAGCTATCACTACCCAGAGCCCCCTAACCCCCACTGCATGCACCTGCATAGAGAAAAAAAAATCAATAATTAAAAGAAGCCATATGAAGAAAGAGAGAAAAATGAAATAACCTGACCTTAAACATTTCACCTGTGGAAAAGGGTGAAATCTAATATGTCATGAGCCTCACCACTTTACCTGTGGAGAAAAAAAGAAATCTGATATGACCTGAGCCTCACCATTTTACCTGTCGAGAAAGAGAGAAATCTGATATGACCTGAGCCTCACCATTTTACCTGTCGAGAAAGAGAGAAATCTGATATGTCATGGGCTTCACCATTTTACCTGTCGAGAAAGAGAGAAATCTGATATGTCATGAGCTTCACCATTTTACCTGTGGAGAAAAAGAGAAATCTGATATGTCATGAGCTTCACCATTTTACCTGTGGAGAAAAAGAGAAATCTGATATGAACTGAGCTTCACCATTTTACCTGTCGAGAAAGAGAGAAATCTGATATGTCATGAGCTTCACCGTTTGACCTTATGTACACATGCATTATTTCAACTATAGTAAAGTCATTTTCTTATTCAAAACTTGACTTTACCATGCATTATGTCAACTACTGTGCAGGCATTTTTTATTTATTCAAAACTTGACTTTACCATGCATTATTTCAACTACTGTGCAGGCATTTTCTATTTATTCAAAACTTGACTTCACCATGCATTATTTCAACTACTGTGCAGCTATTTATTCAAAACTTGATTTTACCATGCATTATTTCAACTAAAGTTCAGGCATTGTCTCTTTATTTAAAACTTGATTTTACCATGCATTATTTTAACTACTGTGACAGGCATTTTTCTCTCTATTCAAAACTTGATTTCACCATGCATTATTTCAACTACTGTACAAGAATTTTCTCTTTATTCAAAACTTGATTTTACCATGCATTATTTCAACTACTGTGCAGGCATTTTCTCTCTATTCAAAACTTGATTTTACCATGCATTATTTCACCATTTTACCTGTCGAGAAAGAGAGAAATCTAATATGTCATGACCTTCACCATTTTACCTGTCGAGAAAGAGAGAAATCTAATATGTCATGACCTTCACCATTTTACCTGTGGAGAAAAAAAGAAATCTGATATGAACTGAGCCTCACCATTTTACCTGTCGAGAAAGAGAGAAATCTGATATGTCATGAGCTTCACCATTTTACCTGTCGAGAAAGAGAGAAATCTGATATGAACTGAGCCTCACCATTTTACCTGTTGAGAAAGAGAGAAATCTAATATCTCATGAGCTTCACCATTTTACCTGTCGAGAAAGAGAGAAATCTGATATGTCATGAGCTTCACCATTTTACCTGTCGAGAAAGAGAGAAATCTAATATCTCATGAGCTTCACCATTTTACCTGTTGAGAAAGAGAGAAATCTGATATGTCATGAGCTGCACCATTTTACCTGTCGAGAAAGAGAGAAATCTAATATGTCATGAGCCTCACCATTTTACCTGTCGAGAAAGAGAGAAATCTGATATGTCATGAGCTTCACCATTTTACCTGTCGAGAAAGAGAGAAATCTGATATGTCATGAGCTTCACCATTTTACCTGTCGAGAAAGAGAGAAATCTGATATGTCATGAGCTTCACCATTTGACCTTATGTACACATGCATTATTTCAACTAAAGTACAGGCATTTTCTTATTCAAAACTTGACTTTACCATGCATTATTTCAACTACTGTGCAGGCATTTTTTATTTATTCAAAACTTGACTTCACCATGCATTATTTCAACTACTGTACAAGCATTTCCTCTTTATTCAAAACTTGATTTCACCATGCATTATTTCAACTACTGTGCAGCTATTTATTCAAAACTTGATTTTACCATGCATTATTTCAACTACTGTACAAGCATCTCTATATTCAAAACTTGACTTCACCATGCATTATTTTAACTACTGTACAAGCATTTCCTCTTTATTCAAAACTTGATTTCACCATGCATTATTTCAAGTAATTACAGGCATTTTCTCTTTAGTTAAAACTTGATTTTACCATGCATTATTTCAACTACTGTGCAGGCATTTTCTCTTTATTCAAAACTTGATTAAGTATTTTAAGTTACTCTTACGCAAGATATAAAACACATGAAACTTTATGCCAATAGTTTGGGGACAGACCTTTGTGTTCCAACAGCTTTACGTGCTGACCCCCATTAAAACATAGAGGTGTTTGTGTTATATTGTTAGGGTACGTAAAGTTGAGTTAGTTTGGTAGTAGGATCAGGACTATAGTTAGGTAGGGCGTCAGAACGTAAGACTGTTGAAATATTCAGGACTGTAAACACGGTACTGACTGTGTATGTCTTTGTTAAACAAAATACATCTACCTAAAATGTTTTTTCTGCATACAAGCAATATAGACAGTCATTCTGCAAACTAGTAACGTGGCTATAAAACGAACTATAGAAACATTGTTTGTGCCCACCAGCGTAAGGTAAATATTATGCAGCACAGATGTCCGGTCGACGCGGTCCAGGTACCTAGGTCCCTGTTCTATGTGCCCGCCGCGGTCAGGATGTAAAATCTTCCTGTGTTTCTCTCCAGCCTGCTGGTGACATCATGGTCATACACAATCCCACATTCTAACGCGACTTGTCCTTTTCGCCGACTGTCGGTTATGTATGGGGGTGCCCGGGGTGGCTTTTTCTCAAAAGTCCGCAGCCGTCCTGCCCGGGCAAGGAGAGGGAGGGGGGCATCATCGGGCCCTCGTGTTCATACGCGGAAAGTTCACAACAAAACAGATCAGCAGTCCGGAGTTCCCTGGCGCATGGCCTAGTCACACAGTGGCCGAATCGCAAGCGATGGCGGAACCCCTTCATCCTTACGGCCATTCCCACAACAGTGGTGTAGTCGTTGACGTCCTAAGACACTGTCTACCTACGCAAGTTTTCAGACTAAACTTCTTTGCCCATGAAAACATCTGTGGTTGGAAGACGCGCGCCAGGATCCAGGCGAGCCCATCCATACATCAGGGGGAGTCAGGGCTGTTCTATTCCACTGTGGGGGGTTATTAGCCTAATATATTGCCCCGTGACGATTGTGACGTTTAATTAAATATACCAAATGACTTTGTACAATGCGTTTTAATGCTTGGTGTATAATACCAATTTCTTATTTACCTAAATATGGGCTGAAATGAAAACAGAATGGAAACAATGCCTCTCATTCACGCGCCTGTATCATGTTTCTTATCTCCGGGCAGATCTTCCGGGCAGGCCTGTGCCTGTTCCGGGTCAAAATCATCAAAATTGTAAACACATGTTGAGCTGGTATGCAAGGGTTGTATGATAAGCTCCCAAGCTTTAGACAGTTTAATAGACAGATGAGATCAACAACACTACAAATACAGGCTACATAAGATAAACAACACGACAAATTACAGAAGAACAAAGTTTAATATCTTCCATACCAATATCTTGCATAAAACGAAAGTATTCAATTCAGCGCCCTTGTTTTTTTACGATGAATCAATAAACAGATGCTAAAAATGTCATTCATACCATAAGATGTCGTAGTAGGTGAAAACTATAAGTCACAATATCCAAAAGATACTTGCCAACGAGTACACAAAACGCTCCCAATATCTGCTTACTGTACAATACAACACCTCGTCTACCAAACAGCTATGGCCTGTTCCACACGACTATAGAAATAGGGGTGTTTCTAAAAGATACATTTACTTCATTATAAAAACTGCCAAAAAAACTGCCACGGTAAAAGAAAACACGTGCATCATCACGGACATAACGGCACAACACATACTCAAATTACAGAAAAATAAAACCGATACAACCATATTATTTTACTCTGAACACATTTAAAATTTACCCCGTATAAAATCACATCTGTCATCTTAGTGGAGTAGAGTAGATTAGAGTAGAGTATTTTAAACAGGTAGAAATGTAGTCTTTTGGTGATCTTCTAAATGTTCTGAGCTATCTCTGTAGGACTGCCAATAAATATAGATGTATTTGCCACGTTGTTCTGGTGTTTTGGTGAGGTCATGTAGGCATTTGGTGAGGTCATGTAGGCATTTGGAAGCCTACAGCGAAGAAAATGACGGACTGCGCAGGTACAGATCTGCATACAGAGCTGTTCCATAACTCCTTCGCAGTCTTGTTGGGGCGTGGGCGTATTTTTTTCAGTGAGCGACGCGAGTAATATGCCGCCGCGAGGGACGATTTGCTGCCGAGGGACTTTTGCCACGGAGAGAAGGAGCGCGGAAACCTTCTCTCCGTGGCAAAAGTCCCTCGGCAGCTAATCGTCCCTCGCGGCGGCATATTACTCGCGCCTCGCTCACAGAAAAAATTACGCCCACGCCCAACAAGACTGCGAATGAGGCTAGGACATGGAGAGGTCTATACCTGATCATAAAAGTTATGGAACAGCTCTGTATGCAGATCTGCACCCGCAGTCCGTCATTTTCTGCGCTGTAGGCTTCCAACTTCGATAGTGGAACTTGGACGCCGTAGCGCATGTTTTCCATCATGCGGCGTGGTCCCTTTCCTATGATGCAGTAGTCCGCTGTATTCGCCGCCTTGAGTGCAAACCTGACAAAAAGAAATATCGATTCACCATTATTTTCTAATTAGCTTCTAATTAATGCATTGTCGAAAATAACAATAGGTCTTATAACAATCAATGAGGGAAACGCGTCTCACCAATTGCAAGGACTTATAAGATTAGCCAATACTTGAAGTATAATGAAAATTAGACACACATTATTGAAAGGTGTTCTATAAATATCTGTCCACGATCTTCAATCTTAAAACTTACTAATGTACGTGGTTGTTTTGAAATTAATCGGAACAGATATACGTACATAACTTTAGCAAGGATTGGTCGCACGCGGGAAACCAGACACAGGTACAGCTTCCACGCCCCCCCTGTCTGTTCCAGCACAACCTGCCAGGTGCCACCCAGAACTGGGCCACATGTTGGAGACACGAAGCGGCGCGACCCACGTGAAATGGCCATCTTCAGGTGAAGGATGTGGAAGACGAGCATTCTTGTCTCCAGCCTCTGGAAGCTGATGTCGGATTCCTACACAATGAAAGATCAGCCATGAATGAGGGCCTGCATGCCCTTTTTCGTTAACCGTTATGGGCTATTTTAATTTACCGTTAATCGTTGCCGGCCTGCTCTAATTCAACGTTAAGCGTTATCAGTATATTCATCGTGAAGCGTTATTGGTCGTTTTAATTCAACGTAAAACGTTATTTGTCATCTTAAATTCAGCGTTAAGCGTTAATGAATAATTCTTCGTTGCGCATAATTTTGCCTTTCAAAGTGCAGGAAAATGCGTCATTGAAGGTTCAAAAACACAAAATTTCCCGGGGGAGAATACCCCCGGACCCTCCTTCATTGCTCGCGCCTTTGGCGCTCGACTCGCGCTTCTGCGCTCGGTCCCCTTCGCTAGCGCTAGCCATCACCAGGTTTCCGTTAATTACAGGAAGTTTGCGGAGCGTTACAGAATTTTTAACGAATCCGTCAACCTTGACGGACAAAATTAACAAAAATCTTGAGTAAAAATATGAAAACATCATAAGGACCGACAAACACTCTCAACACCATGATTTGCTTCTCAAAATGGGGGAAATTGCGTTTTTGAAGGCTTAAAAATCCTAAATTTCCCGGGGAGCACCCCTCGGACCCCCTTAGATTACAGAAGGCGCTCCACTCTCAAAATCCATCGGTAAAACTGGGTGGGCGGAAAAAAAGGCAAGCTGGGTAGAGCCTTAGCCGACATCGACTCGGACTCCCCTTTATTTGTGGACGCACTCGGGGACCAGGGCAGGTGGGAAACACAGGGAACACATACCTTTAAAGCGTTCTTCATTACATGTAAGGTATACGTAATTTTGTCAGTGATCACCTTTTCTCACAAAGCGAGAAACAAAATCCAGTGCAGCTCGAAAAAAAGCCTGTCAATTTACCGTTAAGCGTTGCAGACCGTCCTGAATTTACCGTTAAGCGTTATCGGCCATGCTGAATTTACCGTTAACCGTTGCCAGGACCCCCCCATGCAGACCCTCATGAATAACGAAGGAATGAGGATAATGTTGAGATGTATAATTGCTATTTCCAATAATGTGAAAATTCGAGCATCAGTGGTAAAAAAAATACTGTACAGTACTATGAATGGAGATCTCAGAATTTCTATGTCTAGGCCTTCGACACAAAGGGTGTCCGTGCAACCTGTCATAGTCATATCGTTACTATCTTCCCTCCCAATATCTGATTGAAAGTTCTTTCGTACAAAATGTCATAATGGTCACATATATGTATATATATTCTGTGTCACCTTACTTTTAAGTCCATCATGAAGCAATCCGTCTGTACCCGCTCCAATCGTTCCTCCAGCAGGACAACGTGGGCAGCTGAGGCCTCGGCCAGGTGTGCCCTGTACTCCTCCGGCCCACCCTGAAAGTAGCATCCAGGCATCCTGCATAGATGGACTAGTCGTTTGCAATCCTGGCTTGTGTGGAGCACCGCCGAGCCTCTGTGAAAGGGAGGATATATTAATCTCCGAGCAGATCTTTCCGTGGGGGTGGGGGTGGGGGGGTCAGTATTTCATACAATATTCCATACTGTCCCCCCCCCCCTTCTATCTTCCTTACAGAATTAGTTGTTATTGGAAACGTGATGGGGAATGCATGTTTACCTTGTAATATGGGAGTGACATCCCAGCGGACATGGAATGGGCTCGGACGGACAGATGGTTGAGGAATGTTCTTCACGGCTCCCTCTCTTGATCTTCATCCCACACAAGCAGTCCTCCAGCCTGTGGCAGCAGGTGCTCTCATGGACGTCCAGGTGCCGTCGCTCCACTGTTTCCTGGCACCCTTCGTGTCGGCAGTATACCTAAGCGGTGTGCAAAATATAACGAAATATTTTTCGTTTATGTAGTTACCATTCTGTTCGCTAGCTTAGCTGTACAAATGTTGTTGTGTCTCTACACTTGATCAAACCATTATGTGATATCCAAAGCATGTATTATTTCTTCTCGAAACAGAGATCCTGCGGTGGACTGACAGTATAGTATCCATTTGCCAGATGCAGGCGGACACTCATCTGGCTATGGATACTGGCCGATACTGTCTTGCCACCGTGGGATCTGCTTGGAGATTAATTATTACCATCTGGCGTTGGCAGTTCTCAGCCCTGTGCACCACGAGCTCTCCAACGGTTCCCGTGAACCTGCACAGGGAACAGACAGCCCGCATGCTTGCCAAGATGTCCCTGCACAGGCGGTTGGGTCGAGGTGTTTCGAACTCTTGACGGCACATTGGACAATTCGGTGGGACTGCCTGCTTCACGCAGCTCTCGCACAGAGAATGCTCGCAATCCAAGGACATGGCTGTCCACATGATATTGGTGCTAATAGAAACGAGAATGGGGGCGGTAGTATGAGTGAAAGCATAAATTATCTTAGCAATCGAACAGATTATGTATCAGTATCAAACGCAAACAAAACGAAAAGATAGATGGCTGGAACCAATTAGCTTCTACACAGTGTAGAAGCTCCTTGATGGAACTGAGATAACAATTGAGATAACTTTAGAAAACTTTATTTGCATGTTTATTCCCCGGGGGGATAAATGCACAGATGTACAGAGTACAATGTAGAATGTACTACAACAATAGTAATATAGAAATATTATAGACTGCATTAGCGGTCAATATCAAATAGCGGTATAGCTTACCAAACACAGCACTTCCAACTGTCGTGTGCCTCTTGTCCCAAGTCGTCCTCTGTAAGCACTGTGAAGTGAAATAAGAATTTTAACAATTGTCAATAGGCGTCAATTTTCCGTGAAGTTTTAGGTTTTGCAGAAACAGTATTTTGGGAACAGTATAGTGTATGTAAACAGTGTGTGAGCATGTATCATAGTAGATAGTAGTAGATAGTAGATCCTTTCAGCCAGGTAGGTATCCATCCAGTTTAGGCTGCTCGTTGCTCTACCGGACTGTCATTCCCGGCCTATGCGGGCAATCCAGGGCCGTGTGATTGTACATAATTGGATGACTCTCCATGTATTTATCAAGTCTGTTCTTGAAGGCATTTACCGAGGGTAAATATGCTCTATATCCATATATAGGTCCAGGTTAATAGCCTGTGTACCATCCGGAACCATTCGCTTCGCTAGCCTCCTTCGCAGATAATATTTTGTTGGGTGGCGGCATTATTTTTTTCGGTGAGCGAAGGAGGCTACGCTGCGGCTAGAAAAATCGTACATCCGGGTGGGACCCAGGCTACCGGACTAAGGGATTCCGGAACACACATGCAACTGTACCTGTTCCCGACCACATGGGATTCCAAACCAGACCCCGTTAGACTCCGTACGGATTTTACAGTTTCTTGTCAGTGGGTCTTAATTTTAGCACAATGCCTCAAATCAAACCACCGTGAGTCACGGTGGTTTGATTTGAGGCATGGAGCTGAAATTAAGATCCATGCCTTTCGTGTCAGTCTATGTAAACGGACCTTGAATGCTTCTGAATAGGTATGGACAATGTACAGGCCTTCTCTGTGCGGCTTGTTGTAAGGTAGCCGACTAAAAAACGCGTTAAAAAAACGCAGATTATATCGACACTCCCCCCACCCGAAAGCCTGCAGAGGAAGCTAGAGACATGCCGTGTAGTTTTTGCCGGTAACCATATCGTCGGATAAAACAGTACGATATGCCACCATGGATATACTAGACTGCAACCTTGGGACCACACATAACCTTTCCAACATAACTTCGGAAGCAATGAATGAGCCACTTCATTCGGAAAAATTCCCAGCCCCGCCCCATATGGTCAAACACATATTCTTATGACAGAGCATGGTCAAAGCGGAGGAATAGGTTGTTACCCAACGACATCTCAAAAAGAACATAAGTCGATTCACACTTACCAATTTCAGTAGTCCTCGGGAGTCTTGAAGAAACGGACATGTTTCGTCGGATAGGAGTCACAGGTAGTAGGACAAATTCTTCGAGCGCAGATCAACTAGTCTGGATGCCAGTAGCGAGCAAGGGTCTGGTCGGAAGACTTTATGAAAGGCTCTCAGGGAGGAGGGGAGTTGCTGTGATTGATGGCCCCTGACACCACAGGTAGCCTCTGTCATTTGGTAAATCTTCAGTGAAATTAGCACTCGGGCATGAACTTGTGTAAGAAGTACCCTGTACCTTGAACCCAGGACAGGGTCGTGGGGGCACTGTATGGTGGAGTGCCTGACCATCTGCCGCCATCCCTCTCGGCTGTGAGCTAGGGTTAGGGTTTCCGCAGGTTTTTTTCCTGTCCATTCTTGGATGTTGTCGGCCCATTTTTCTTCTGTCTTCCCCTTTTGTCTTCCCCTTTTTCTTGCTCCTTTTACTGTTCCTTGAATGATTGTTTTCGACAGTCCATTTGATCTCATTGGAGGAAGAAGTAGGAGCCTATAAACTCCCCATTGTTACACTTAAAATAAAGAACTCATTTTTCAAAATATCAGCAGAATTTAGTAAGACAATAGAAGTAGTGTTTGTTTGTTTGTTTGTTTTGTGTACTGTCGGCTTTGCTATTAGCATGCTATTAGGTGGCAGTCCTATATAGCTAACACACCAGGACAAAATACACCTTATCTACAGCCACAGCTGGGACTGGGACCAATCATAGCAGAGGTGTAAATTGCTTCCTGTTGCTGCATTGGTGGGCCAAGAACAATATAAGGAAGTGCTCCCACTGTGACCTTCCCAGCAGATTGTGAATTGGCCCATAAACTCATAAAAACCCTAGACAGTCTATCCTTCAGTCAAAGGCAGCAGATTTGCATACCCTGGTCAGTTTTCAAAGATTAATTTTTTTTATTATTTACTGGTTTTCAGTGTAACTTTTTCTAAATGCAGACTGGTCCAGATACTTGTTACTAGTTGTTCAAAGTCATATTAGCAAGAAATTTGCAACTTTTAGTTTAGCAAATCAACGAGGTTGAATACAAGGTTTTAAACCTCCTTTGGAAAATCGAGGACATGTGTATAATGTCCTTGGGAAAATCAACCTTGATCGAATCGGCCCTGTCAAAGTTAAATCCAAGGACATACTCCGTATGAGGCTTATAGAACTGGGGGCTTGCTGGTCTTCGGCTGTTTTCTGATTAGCCCAGTTCTAAAAACGGGGGTAATTCAACCAGGCTTGCTATGTTGTCTATAAGCAATCAGAAAATAACACGTAAAAGATCACGAAGACCCTGAAGACCCCCAAATCCCCGTTTTTGGCATGCCATGGAGGCTATGACATACATGTATATGTAACCCTTACTATATAATCCCCTTCCTGTATCAAAGTGTCTACTTGTACATGTATCTTTACTTGGAAATTGAAATGTCTTTCTGGCAACTTTCTCAAACTACAAGCCAGGACATGGTAAACCAGAGCTATCATTACTATAATACTTCATATTCTGGGTTACGTGTGTGTGTGTGTGTCATTTAAAAGTGCCTTGAAGAGAAAATTTTACTTGGCAACCTAAATTGTCTACTCAACGTGCAGAAGTTGCCACCATGTACATGTGAAGTTTCGGTTTGATACAAAAGAAGTGTGAACCTTTGATGAGTGGAGATTTGAAACAGATTTTTTAACAGGAAGGTGGGAGACGATCCCTTGGTGTGTGTGTGTGTGTGTGGGGGGGGGGGGTTATAGGCGCTACCAACTGACCCGGCCGACTACATGGCTAGACAATGGTTTTAGACATGTCCATTATTTTTTTTGTCTTGGAAGAATGAGTGAAGGAAGGCCAGGAGACTGGAAAAGAAGCCTCTACCACCAGGCTTCGGGAAATGACCTGAACGAGTAGAAATCGGTCAAATAGAGACATAACATACCGTGGCAAAATGTTCTCTGTAGCATACCAAATCCCTCTGTATGTTATGTCTCTATTTGACCGATTTCTACTCTTTCCAGCCGTTGGTTGTGTTAAACGTCCTTGATCGGATCAAGGAGGTTATTTACGCTAGTCCCAGATCTCCACCCATGTTGTTCGGCTAAGTTTTGTGTAACGCGGCCATGATCTACTTCTCTCTAGCAGCATCCAAAGAAGCAAGCCTAGGGTAAAACACAACATCTGGCCCGCTCACATATATATTTATTGTAAAACAAATATATATATATATGTACATACTACCATACACGTGCAGCCTGATAGCTACCTTGTGTAGGTAGACTCGCCCGGCTTTGCATACCCTCAACTATACATGTATATATATATGAACTAAATCAGAGATCTTATGATCTTTATCTAAAAGTTGAAATCTAAAGGCTAATTATAAATCTAAAGGCTAATACGTGACAAATGTTCATTTTCGACTATACTCTACCAAACATAAGATTATCACTGTCTATTGAACGACAGATGTGAAAAAATATCAAGACAAGACACACTGAAATATATAAGGTCGTGGAAATGAACATAGAAAAGCAAAGTCTGTAGGCTATTGTTCCATCAACTTCCATGTGTTTTAAATTGAGAGAAGAAAACGGTATTGAATATAAATTAACTAAGTGTTCTGTTCCAGTACAACTGATTAAAGGTTTCAGTGTTTTACTGAGCCATTTGGCAAAATTTCAAATATGCAGTTTGCCTTTTTGGCGATGCTAAAACAGCCTCTACCTCCCGGTGCGGCAAACTGTTCTCTCCAGCAGACCGACTTCCCTGGCATGTCATATACTAGTATTTCTATTTGGCCGATTTCTACACTTTCTATCCGCTTCCCGAAGCCCGGTACCGGTGCTACCACTCGTAGTCAAGAGCCTACTTTTGAACGGGAGTGAATATTTGACCCTTATTCACCGTAACGTGGCCGACCTTATAAATAGCATTTTACCCTGTGACCTCTATAGACCTCGTTTACTTGTATCTACCAGGCGGCGCGGATCGCTGGAAAAATTGTAGAAATTGGCCTAAATACAGGAATAGTATACCAGGGGAGTTAGCCGGCCTAACTCCCCTGGTATACAATCTCTTTCTTTCGGCCAACTTCTATTATTTTTCCAGTGATCCGCGGCGCCTGGTAGAGGTTTAACTAGTTTGCAACTACTGGTGTTATGCAGGCGCGTGGAACTGGGAGAAGATTGCATGGAGTTAAAGATCATTTGTTATTAATCATTCAGCAAATGTCGTCGAAGAATTTCTCTCGCTAAGAGGTATTTTTCTCTGCCGTCTCTGTCCGAAAAATTAAATGGTGAAAGCTCTCTAAACAGTTCCTCCGTGCAATCTTCACGAACGCGGAGTTCACGGACATACCTACATAGCGCCAGTAGTTCTTCTTCTAACGGAACGTCTGTGATTAGCGTGTCAATGTCAACTGGCTGCCCATTGTAATGTTCGTGGACAGCAGTGTACTGTCTATCAATGTTATCTGCGAAGCCAAACGCTCTCAGTTGGTTCGGGGACATGTTATATGGTGCAGTACTTACAGGATGGTTATTGTAGAATGCTCTAAACGTATCCAGAGCGGAATTTATAATAGGCAAAAAAACAAAATGCAGTGCAAGAATATCTAGACGTGAATTTGGGTCCAATATTCCTTCCCGTTCAAAAGCATCGAACAGGTTAATGAATCGCTTGGTAGCATGGTCTCGCATCGTTCCCCAAAACCGCTCAATCCTTGCGTTATGAACGGACGGTCCTTTGAAGTGTACCTCGTAGCTTGTGCCCCTAATCTCAACCATAAGGCGGCCGACTGCATTATTTTCTCCACCATGGTCTGTTCTTATGCGACGTGGCAGTCCGTACTCCCTCACGCCCCTTAAAAACATCCGAAGGGTCTGAGAAGCAGTGTTGTATCCAGACGCCCCAAGGTACACGCATGTCCTGCTGTACCCGTCCACCGCAGCCTGAATTGAAATCTTCCACCTGCTCTGGTAGACGCTGAATAAAGGAAAGAGAACATTTTTACCAACCGGATTTTCCCAGAACTCAACACAAGTAGATTTAGTGCACATAAATGGTTAAACTCAGAGCAGGGGGGGGGTATGTAAAAGAACGAACTTTTGGCATACGACCACCCTCGGAGAAAGCAATAATTTAAGTGTTTCTAAGATTCATCATCTCTCTCTCCAGGGGACGTCATCCATAAAAATTACTTGGTATGTTTATTTGTCAGATTCATGTCGACCCCACTGCTTCACAATGAAACAGTCCTAATGGAATAATCATGATCCACGCAGAACAATTAGCACGCAGTCTCACACTAATCTCCAAACAGATCCCTTTCGGTGGCAAAAAGACAGTATCAAATTGGCCAGGCAGTGTCCATTTATAGCCAGAGAAGGTCGCCGGCCACCGACGGGGTAGCGACAAAAAAACGGCCATATATATAAAGGTAACGATCATTTCCCCACAACCTCTGCTTGGAGAGCAGTCTCACACTAGCTTGAGTGCCAAACCCAAACACACTGGACACAACGTATCTCATGCTCAGTCACTGAAATACTTTGTGCTATGGGTTTGGCACAGGCTATCTCATACACCGGTACCTAGGAGCTTTAAATCAAAATCAATAAGCTCTAAAGTAAGGAGAGTGGACGGAATACTTGTAGTATGTTGGTTGCGGGTGTCACAAAACTGTAATTGGCACGAACCTGTCAATTATCTAATCCATTGACCAAGGGATTATTTTAGCCAAAAAATTCCTCTGACAAATGGATACTGCCTTGCCACTGTATGATCTGCTTGGGTATTATCAATTGCCCTGATTTGCATAGGTTCCGACGACATTATTCTCTACATTCGAATCCGGATTCTGTGCAGCTATGCTTCCAATGTTCCTAGATAAGATTAGATGTTATCCGGCAATAGCTGCGTCCACTCCGTAACCTCTACCAGGCTTGGGGAGGCGACTGGAAAGAGTAGAAATCGGCCAAATAGAGAGATACGCATGCCAAGGGAGTTTGTCCGTTGAAAGAATAGTTCACCGCACCCCATGGCGAAATGTTCTCTCAACGTAGCCTCTACCAGGCACCGCGGATCACCGTGGGTCGCAAATTGGAGCTTCTATGGCCCTGGATCTTCCCTGGTATACTATCCCTTTATGGCCCTTTATTTTGGCCAATTTCTACTATTTTTCCAGCGATCCGCGGTGCCTGGTAGAGGCTACTCTCAACGGACAAACTATGGAATCAGTCGCAAAGCAATAAAAGTGTAATTTAGCTACTTGGCACGTATAAGATAGCGATTAGTGGACTTCAAAGAAATGGCGACTCTCGACAGGCTTGGGGTGCGGCGAACTGTTCTCTCAACGGACAAACTCCCTTGGCATGCTTATCTCTCTATTTTGCCGATTTCTACTCCTTCCAGCCGCCTCCCCAAGCCTGGTACGGTGTGGTAGAGCATTTCTACCTCCATGGGTAGAGGCTACGGAGTGGACGCAGCTATTGCTGGATAACACCTAATCTTATCGAGGGTGACATTGGAATCAAAAGAAGTACCGCCAGGCCGCTGGACAAAGGAACCCAGTGGGATCTTGCGGGGCAGAACAAAAGACCGCGCCGCGGCAGGTGTTAATTGCGTTTGCTCTCCTTCATATTTTGAAGCTCCTATATTTTAAAGCGCATTGCTCGCAAAAGCCAAAGTTCAAGGTTAAATCTTACCCATTGAGTTTATGATGAGAATCAAGATGCCAAATCCAGTTCGGACAAGGTACGAAATACCCCTGTCTTGGCACGGGCGGTCTCCACCTTGCGGCAACCCCCTGGGGGTCCACACGCCTTAGGGACTGGTACACGCGCTCCCTGGCGACCCGTATACCCTGGGTTATTAGAGCTCCCATGGCCATTTGTGTCCCACAGTTGGAGTCTATGGCTGTGATCTGGCGTGTCCGGTTGTCAAGCTGTTGGTCTGTGATGTCTGTGTACCTCTGTCTTTGTGTTAAGCACATTTCCCGTCGTCGCCTATAGAAAGTTGAAGTCGACACACCTGAGGAAACAAAAAACTTAACGCTAGTAACTGCGAACAAAACAAGATGAAAAGATACAGTTGGCAGGTACAAAATTCTAGTACATGAGCCTAGTATTAGACCTCTCTTGATTTTATCACAAACTTGCTAATTTCGAAGACGTGAATTCTCATTAATTGGTTCACACAAACACGATATCGATCGAAAAAGGCAGACATAAAATGTTGCCAATATTGAAATTTAGATAAATGTGAAGACAAGTTTCAGTTTGTTCTTGACTGTAATTTATATAGAAACTAGAGGTCCGAGATGTGGATCTCATGCCTTCGTCGGAAGGACCATGGAGGTCTACCTCCATGGAAGGACATTGTTCTAAACAAATGAATTTGTTTTGATAACCAATTTACTCAAGACTAATCTCCAAGCAGATCTTTTGGTGGGGGTAAGAGATAGCATGGAGGTAAAAGAGAGAATATAGACAGTATCAAGTTGGCCGGTCTGTAACCATTTCCCCACCCACAGACCGGCCAACTTGATACTGTCTTACCCCCACCAAAAGATCTGCTTGGAGATTAGTCACGAGTAATCTCCAAGTAGATCTTTTGGTGGGGGTAAGACAGTATCAAATTGGCCAGTCTGTAACCATTTCCCCACGGTGAAAATGGTTACAGACTGGCCAAAGAACTGTTCAAAAATTAATTTTTTTTCAGCATATGCAACCTCGACCAACGAGACCAAGCTCTTGATATATCTATTTTGAAGAAGGTGTTAGGAGGGGGGAGGGGGTGTTAATAAACCAAAATCTTTACATGGAAATTTCATTCAACTTGGGGGGAGCATGGATTCTGGAAGATACGGATTCGTAAAAACGAGAGGAACGGTTACTAGTTACTATTCAGACTCCAATCATGACCGATTAATGGATATCCACTGGACAGGATTTTTACAAAACCGGTTATGTTAAGTCTGATATGAGCGCTGGAGATTCCCCTCACTAATGAAAAGTAATTATTTAGCGGTTTCAGACGGTTTTTAATGCCTGATATGAGCGGTTTTGACTCCAACACCGTAAAACTTAAAATAACAAGGTTTTGTAGAGGTAAAATTTATTTAGGCAGAAGACGTACCGTGAAGTCTAGCACCAATGTTGAAAGGCAGTCCTTGTTCAAACGATTCCCGTACCGAACCAGGGTCGATCATGTACCGAGGGCGGCCCACTCTCCCTTCAGTCGTCCGGGGAGCTCTATCGCGGCTGTTGTTCACGTTGGTAATTTGTTGCCGGACCTCTGCAAGTACACTGCTGACTTTAACCTCCAAATCCCGTAATGTCGCTTTGATGGACTGTACTGTAGAAGTCTGTTCTGCACCGGGAAGTCTGTCCAACCGTGATCGTACCATACGTATGTGACTAACGGTCCTTTGGAGATTTCCATCTTGTTCCAGTAGGGCTGCAGTGCTACAGGCAGAATTAAGAGTTTCTTCAGCCTGTTGTAATGCAGTCCGAACTTCTCCTAGAACGGCGTTGACTTCTGCAGGTGTGATTCCAGGTCCTGTAGTATTTATACACGGGATGATATTAGATGTGTACTAGTATAAATACACTGCATAAATCAGTTTCGCAGGCGGACTTTGGTACTGGCCCCGTGCACCAGGGGAGGATGGGGTACCTGCCGCCCGGGCGTGCTTAATTATCACTAATATGACAGTTCGGTGTGTCCTCTGTCATGGAACATCTGGAATACGTATAAATTCTATAATGCTAGTAGGTTTCCTGTATTCCTAGCCTGGATGCCAGTGTGCACACTGAGATATTTTGTGTCCAGTGCATGTGCTTTGGGTCTGGCATCCAGGCTATGTATTCCTTGCAACGTTAGCATATACATTTGTGCAGTTTTATGAAGTACTAAGTACATAAGTGTATATCGTATCGTAATACAACAGGATTTAAACCACAAACTTTGTTTAAATCAAGGACAATGTTGGTATACTGTGCCCTGGGACTGATCTGGGTAAATGGCCAGGTCACTACTGGAAGAAAGTGGTGTGAATGAACTCGAATATAGACGTGAACAGTGGCTTTAGCGAAAAGAAAGGAGAAGAAGAGTTTGAGTATGGTTTTCCCTGGAATCTTCTATGGGTTTTGCGGAGAGGAAATAGAGAAGCCTGTTATTGAAAGAGGGTCTGCATGCCCTTTTTCGTTAACCGTTATGGGCTACGTTAATCGTTGCCGGCCAGCTCTAATTCAACGTTAAGCGTTATCAGTATATTCCTCGTGAAGCGCTATGTGTCGTTTTAATTCAACGTAAAACGTTATTTGTCATCCTAAATTCAGCGTTAAGCGTAAATGGATAATTCTTCGTTACGCCTAATTTTGCCTTTCAAAGTGCAGGAAAATGGCTCTAGCCAGAACCAGTTTTCCCTTCAATTTCCGGACGTTTGCGGAGAGTTACAGAATTTTTTTAACGAATCCGTCAACCTTGACAGGCAAATTAACAAAAATCTTGAGTAAAATATGAAAATATCAGAAGGACCGACAAACACTCTCAACACCATGATTTGCCTCTCAAAATGCGGGAAATTGCGTTTTTGAAGGCTTAGAAATCCTAAATTTCCCGGGAGAGCATTCCCCCCAGACCCTCTAGATTACCCCTCTCAAAATCCATCGGTAAAACTGGGCAGACTGAAAAAATGCAAGCTGGCCGACGTCGACTCGGACACCCCGGTATTTGTGGACGCACTCGGGGACCAGGGCAGGTGGGAAACACAGGGAACACATACCTTTAATGCATGCTTCATTACATGTAATAAGGTATACATGTACGTAATTTTGTCAGTGATCACCTTTTCTCACAAAGCGAGATACCAATTCCAGTGCAGCTCAAAAAAAAGCCTGTCCATTTACCGTTAAGCGTTGCCGACCGTCCTGAATTTATCGGCCCTGCTGAATTTACCGTTAACCGTTGCCAGGACCCCCCCCCCTCCCCCATGCAGACCCTCTTGAAAAGGTAGATTGACTAGATTGTCAGGAACAGATGGTCCGGTGGTCCCCCACAACAAAACGAACATACTGTTACATAGCCAAACTGCGTCGCCGACCCGAGAAATAACCAGTAATAAATAACTACCACCTAAAAACGGAAGATCGTTCCATTGTAAACTAGGCTACATATTTTATTTGAATTCTCTCCAGGTTAAATTGCATTGACAGGATAGACGGGGACGGTTATTTAGGTCACCCGAGGCCCTGCCAGGCCGACTCTGGGGACGTCCCTGGAGGACCTGAGCTAATGCGTAACACCGTCGGGGCTGCTATAGAAAGTCCGGCGCTTTCCTGGGCTAAAAATTTGATATGGGTCAGACAAGTAATCGAGAGCGCAAATATTGTATAGGAATTTATTCAACACATTAATAAGACAGGAACACTGACTTACCTTCAACAGTATGCAAGTAAGCTGCAACCAGCAACAATCCATAGAAGAAGGGAACGGGCATATTTACGCCCAGACGAGCGATGAAACTCGGCGCAAAATGATATGAATTTCTAGCCTGCTAAATTAGCACTTTTTGCAGGCCCCCAATTATGGGAGGAGCAACTTCTAGTTGCTAGGAGCCGTGGGGTCTGGCGATAGCACGTGACCCGGATGCGTCAATGCCATTGGCATGACGTTGCCCTGCCCTTTTAACGCATAGGAGCGACACACGCATTCTGTTGGATACTGTTGCCCGTATACAACACAGTTACGCGCTCGCCGCACCTGTAGAACATCCACCCTCCAATCTTCGCTCCGTTCCAACCTACAGGTATGTGTATTTTTGCTTTTCTACACCTCAGCTAGTGTATCTTGTTTCCTGGATATTGCTTGTTTTGTTGCTATGTATAGCCTCCTTCGCAGTCTTGTTGGGTGTGGGCGTAATTTTTTCTCTGAGCGACGCGAGTAATATGCCGCCGCGAGGGACGATTAGCTGCCGAGGGACTTTTGCCACGGAGAGAAGGTTTCCGCGCTCCAACAGCTCCGCACAGGCTTCGTTGGTCGCAAATTGGAGCTTCTATGGCCGGCTGGATCTTCTCTGGTATACTATCCCTTTATTTCGGCCAATTTCTACTATTTTTCCAGCGATCCGCGGAGCCTGGTAGAGGCTAGCGGCATATTACTCGCGTCGCTCAGAGAAAAAATTACACCCACGCCCAACAAGACTGCGAAGGAGGCTATCTATGTATGAGTTTGTAGATACTCGGTAAGAGCAAATAAAGTCATACCAAAGATCAATCATATATCGGATTAGGCTATACCGATTTCATTTTATGGATGACATCCGCGTGTGCATTGATTCAGCTCGTCTGTTCTCAAAAAAAGATCACGTCCTCCGAGGTACTAGCTAGCGACGAGGGAGAATCTCCTTTCAAAATTATACCAGCCTTGCCAACAATGTCATCTCTGTGGCTGTTTAGAATATTATATCCTTCATTTTCCCCCCAAATTTTAGTGAGGGTACCGAAGCTCCACGTCTCAAGAACGAAGAGTACCGCAAAAGGCCAGGATGTGCCAACTCACAATACCACCTTTGTATTCCTGTGGTTTAGTCGGTTTTTTGGTCGGAATATTTTTTATTCGCCCGTGCATAAAAGTTCGGGGGTCTTCAGAGAATGTCATCCATAAATTTATTAAAGTCGGTGTGGCCTTTCTAAAGTGATGGTGGTAAAGCCAAAACTGACCCGAAAGACCCCATGATATCGGATTACCATACCAATACTTTGCGTATTTCTTGAACTGTGTAGAACAATCTGCTTCTACGTACAACATGCAAATTTCTGCTTGCCGCACCAAACTTTGAGCGCTGACACCTTTGATCTCGGTTTTGACACTTTACTGCTAACCCCACTATCGGCCGCGCTTATTGTCTTCGCAAAATTTCCATGTCGTTAACACTTACCAGGCAGCCTGGCCAGTCTGGCGGCACAGCTTGCCCATTGTCAAACGGTTGTTCAAAAATATTCAAGTCTTCTAGCCAGTTTCATTATTCTTTACCGATACTTTATATCTTCAATATTTTCCTTTGTGGCTTTTTCTTATTACTCCCCGGGACCATTCTACTGTCTTAGTTTACTGTTCCCTCATTTTGTTTTTTGAATTCAAGAGTCCGTCGACATTTTTTCTACTCTGGCGAATCAGTTTTCATTGCTTTATCCCTATCGCTTTTATAATGAATAATGTAACTTGTCACTATGCACACCATCACCATTTCTTTAGTTTGCAACAAGTGTATTGAGAAAGGGGAACTTCATAATTCTGCTGACTGAATCCCCATTTGAATGTGTAAAATTTCATGTGTACATTTCGATTTGTTCATCAAAGTAGATTTTACAAAGCGATTGTGGAAGTACTTAGTACATGTACCAAGGAGGTTAAATACAGTATTTAACCTGCTTGTTAGTACCATGGGGTTAAAATACACATCACTCCATGTTCAGGGATCTCCCCAGAAATTTAGGACAGAATGGAGGAGGGTGCGAAATATCGGTAAATTTGACCAAATAACCCTGGAAAAGGGTGTAAAAACACTAGTTTTGAAAATTAACAGGGTGGAGCTGAGATAAGGACTGGGTGGAGGAGCTCCACTGCTCCATTGTTTAGGGAGGTCCCTGCACATGAGTACCAGGGGTTTTTCTGGAAAAATCTAGCATGAGGGAGCAGATCGCAAGCATTGCAAGGAACGGCGTGACCGAGGGGGGGGGGGGTTAATAGGAGTAACACAGTTTGTAATGCTAGAATGCATTATTGTATTGTTTTTACATCTCTACTGGAAAAAGATCATCTTGAGAAAGACTAAATGGTGTGTAAGTAGCCCCATAGAGTTCAATATGAAAATTGGTATGAGGGAGCTGGCTGGTTACAAGAGGGAGCAGCTAATTCCCATGTTTAGAAAACCCCCTGAGTACTGAAGTAAACAAACAACAATTACGCGCTTGGGTCAGTTCATGGTAGTCTCCACCAGACCAGACTTACAGGCAGAATATATAGTAGAAATCGGCTATTAATAAAGGAGAACAACATTGGCCAGAGGAGTTGGCCGGCCGTAGAGGGTCCAGCTTGCCTACCGGAGTCTGTGAGAAGTCGCTACGATGAAAGCGCATCAAATTAATCCGCTCATCTACAGAACAAGGACAGTAGCTTAGCACCTCAGAATAAAATCAGATCATTTAGCTTAATTAGGCCATAAACAACCCGGCGTGCAGGCTCCCGCGCCACCAAACCCCGCGGGGTCTCCCGGTGTGACTGTATACACAATGTGACATCGAGGCCGCCGTGAGCAGGTCGCGAAGTCAGTACTAGCTAATTCAATCCTTGGGAACTAATATCAGCATCTCTGACATTCCTTGTACCAAATTGTAGCAGAAACAACCCAAATTTTCCCACGCAGACACGACGGGCCCTCCCCACTCGGTGCACATCGGCAGTGGAAATCAGGGATTGCAGCAATTTGCATGTTTCTTCGCGCCCATCTATCATCGCGAAGAAACATGCAAAAAGCTGCAATCCCTGATTTCCACTGTCCATTTTAAACGCCAGTCAGCCTGCTGAGGAAAGCATACATGCTTTATTGTTCTTCACTGATGTGCCCCTGTGATGGATCTTGTCGGAAGTTTGAGGAAAGTTTTTTTCAGACAGCGCCCGGGCACGCTACCGAATAGTCCATTTCAAGGGAACAAATTGTCTATAACATCATAAAATATCTACCTTTCAATGAATATTGATACGGCTTGAAGTACAACCTCATAGTATTACAGTATAACTGTGTTATATTACTGTACGATGTCATATCTGATATCTTTGTATATGGATTTGAAGTATTTCAAAGACGCTTTTCCCCTACAAACAGAATAGACTCTTCCATTTCCCAAATTGGCGATAGAACCGCCAAAGACGCTTTTCCCCTACAAACAGAATAGACTCTTCCATTTCCCAAATTGGCGATAGAACCGCCCGTGTTAGAAATCAACACAGAAGACACATTGTTTACGAGGTTTTACGAGGTTTTGCTTCAGAATGTTCCTGATTTTGTCGGTAATATAGGCCATATAGCCCCTTAGCAGGTATGTTTATTTTACAATTTCCATTGGGAAAGCGGAATATAATTGCCTTTTGACAAACCGTGGACAAGGTTGTCAGACCGTTACCTTTTCGTGTTTCAATAAGAGGCCTAAGTCCCGGCCGGTCACAGCTGACAGGCAAAGCAATAAACGGCTCACTCTGGTACTTCGTACCCATTTGTGGACATCAAAGAAGATAGCGACTTCTCACACGTAGTTCACAGCCATTGTTGTCCTCGATATAAAGCGATTATGCATTACAAAGAGAATTTTCGTAGGTAGGGCTTCCAT